TACTCTATAGATCTCAGAGATCAACCTCTATCATTCTACTCTATAGATCTCAGAGATCAACCTGTATCACTCTACTCTAAAGATCTCAGAGATCAACCTATATCACTCTACTCTATAGATCTCAGAGATCAACCTGTATCACTCTACTCTATAGATATCAGAGATCAACCTGTATCACTTTACTCTATAGATCTCAGAGAGCAACCTGTATCACTCTACTCTATAGATCTCAGAGAGCAACCTGTATCACTCTACTCTATAGATCTCAGAGATCGACCTGTATCACTCTACTCTATAGATCTCCATGTAATTACGCTGTATTCTCAGATCTCATAATGCAACCCTAATATCATCAAACTCTTTAGATCTCAGTGAAACCATATTATACCGTAATTTTAGATCTCAAAGTACAAACATGATACTGTACTCTAAGGTCTCGCAGTATAAAGCTGGCACTTGAGTTTCACCCAATGCCATAGCTAAGGAAATTCCTTAACCTTAGATCCTCCATAGAAAAGCACTACCAGAGTTATAAAGAAATTTTCCTGATTTTTTTTTTATCAAACTCAAATAATTCTTTCCTGTGGAAAAAAGCATATGTAAGGAATGTTTATATGAAACTTTGGCCTGTACTCTTAGGTTCTCGACAGAGTACACATTAATTTGTTTTTCAGAAAATAGACTTCTGGTACATTTCAGGATCTTGACCTTTGAGATAACCTTCTGATCAGCAGCCATTTTGTTTTCTGACATTTCTGCTTGAGTAAGCCTAGCAGTAGTGGCAGGCATGAGACATGCCGAGGCGATAAATACATATACCACAAATGTTTTCGGTTCTACAAATAGATTGCACTGTTTTGAAACATGACAAATTAAAGTCTGAAAATAGCTTAAGAAATCAACTCAGATGTCTTCTGAGATTTATCAAGCAAAGTTCTCAGGAGAATTAGAGGATTTCTATTTTCCTAGACCAGATCTGCTGCTATAAATGATTTCTTGCTGCTATTGAAAACATAACAATTAAGACGAAAATTCCACTGGCACATTAATGGCTTTTGAAGCATTTAAAGAGTGCGGAAATGTCTTATGGGAGTTAAAGAAATTTTATTTTTGAATTGAAAAGAAACATTTTCGCACTTGAAGATATCAGCAGAGATTGGGGTTTTTTCTTTTTAAAATGAAAGATTTTGAATTGAATATTTCAAAGCCATATAACCATATTACAGATCTTTAGTACAACTTAAAGATCTGATAAATATTTAACTATTTTAATTATAAAAAAATCAATAAACTTAAAATTCAAAAATTACCAGAAAAATTATATACTGTATAATATAACTATTTGAGATGTTGTTATGAACATTTTTAATTGATTTTTAAATGATACCAACCATATATGTTCAAGCAAAAATATCCTAAGAACCTGTGTAAGTTCTGGACAGAAATCTAGCTCAATTTATATCTATAAATAAATTACTACATTTTGGCCAGGAATCTGTATGTGTGTCTGTCAACATATATTCCTTTACATAAAACCAGCCATTTAATGTTTGTTTTTGGCATATCGCACTAACAACAAATTTACATCAAAGACGTTCGGACACATTAGTCTGATGTGTACTAAATTGAGTTAATCATGGATCGCACTGGGGTGGTAAAAATATATGGAAGTTTATCCGGCCCAAGCTTTTCAAAGATTTGTCAGCCTAAATAAATTCTCAAAAATTTCTTTCTGTATCAAACCAAACCCTAGATCTTACCATAATTAAACTCTGAACGTGAAGATTTTGGATCCTTATAAAAACATTCTATTTTTGATGGATTTAAGATATTTGATTAAAAATCTTCTTGATTTATAAGAAACATTTTTCGAATTTCAAGCTAACAATGCTTTTAACATCAGGGTCAAAATAGGTGTTTAAGAAACCATTTGTACCTGTTACATCTTCATCGCCACACCTATCATAATTAAACCTTTATTTCGTAAATCATGGAGGTTCTCCAACCAGAATAATCTCTTTGTATCTCGTATCACTTGATTTAATCTGGCGATGGCCACAGGAGTTCAACTTTTATCAAGGAAACATCATTACTCTATATTTAAGTGATATATTAGTGCACAGATAAAACGACTCTAAATTGAATTTATCATATAATATTACGTTTTTATATAGTATCTTGTGTCAGCCTATCAGGTACGTTTTGTTATCAAATCATTTAAGATTTTTCTGACTATTTCACAGATTATGAGTCCGAAGTGATATTTTTTTCTGGCTATGCTTCAGGAACCAGGTACTCTTGGTGTCAAAATATGATGATGGATTTTTGTATCTGTTGTATTCAAGCAATGTTTCATCAGCAAACATATATATATATATATATATAAAATCAATTCAACATTAAAATATGAATATCCACAATCCCATGGTCTGTTTGTCAAAATAATGCAAGTCCATCAATAATATCACACTATGACCTAGATATTTCAAGGCAATTCTGCATCCAAAATGCAAAACACGGTGAACTACATATAAATATTTTTTAAGATCGGAACAACCCTGTCACAGATAGGCTGCTGGGTCTAGACCACTGACTAGCTAAGGCAGTTTGGAGAGATATCTCTAAGGCGTTTGTCACAAAATAACTGTCATGCATAATGGTAAGAGAATCTCATGGATAAGTTCTCTTTGATTTAAGGAAAATGTGATAACTCCATCGTTTACCTAATGATTGCATCCTTGGATTTTGTAAGGCACTGCAGCATGGTGGTCGGGTGGTGCAGTGGATAGCCCACTTGCCTTTCACCAAGGCGGCCGGGGTTTGATTCCCCGATCGGACGTGAAATTGTATGGCATCACCTGCCCGACCACATAGGTTTTATCCGGGTACTCCGGTTTCCTCCCACAAAAGACCCCACAAGCGCTAACATCCGGGCCAACAAGAGTGATTAATATAAGTTGAAATAACTTGTTTCATAATTGTTGTAAAATAAATAAAGTTTATATTTGTACTGCAGCATACAATGTTTAAAACAATGCGACTGCATAGATCCTGTTGGTCAAACAGAATCAACCTTTTATTTCTTACATTTGAGAGTGAGTTTTCAGTCTCGTGAGAGTGAGTTTTTAGTCTCGTGAGAGTGAGTTTTCAGTCTCGTGAGAGTGAGTTTTCAGTCTTGTGAGAGTGAGTTTTCAGTCTCGTGAGAGTGAGTTTTCAGTCTCGTGAGAGTGAGTTTTTAGTCTCGTGAGAGTGAGTTTTCAGTCTCGTGAGAGTGAGTTTTCAGTCTCGTAAAAGTATTATGTCTCTTTAAGCATTTATTTGATAAATTTAAATAATCCTTTGATGTGGAATACTTTATTGGAAAATTAGATGAATGTAAATTAATTTCTAGTTGTCTTGTCTGCCTGTCTGTGAAACTGTAATGACGCTGCATTAGTAATTCAACAGATAGCGTTTAAGTGCAGAGGACAGTATTGGTATGTCAAAGCACTGTTTTCTGGGTGCTTCAAAAGCGCTGTGTGGAAGTCCTTTTGACACTTTATTTGCATAATTGCCCTATTGTGCCCTAATGCAGACACTTTGCGGAGTTTGAATTCCTTTGCACTTTTGAATATTGCTTGTAGTGAAAATGTATTGCAGTGGAGCTGGACAACGACAGGATTCTGATACTTGGTGATTTACTAAACATCAATAATTATACCTATATTGAACATTATGATGGTACTGTGGTCTGCAAAAATAGTAAAATGGATGGTGTTATAGGCGTGCAATCCTTGCGATCTTATGTTATTTCCAGAAAGACTTATGCAGTATTTGTATATATTCTGTTTCACAAGAATGTGTGCTTATTTATGAGCAATGGGTTTAATAGTGGTAAACTAAAGTAATCCTGACTAAGATAGCCAGCATGTTGAGAGAACTTTTACTTACCTAAAATGAACCGTCATAACTGACCCAGAGGAATATAGTGTGGGCGGTATCACATTTCCACACAATCCCATGTTACCACCAGCCTCTTCCTGAAACCAAAAATGTTTATAATGAATATGCGTTAAAAATAACTTCCCAAATGATTATTAGTAAATGTCTTTTAAGGGTGTATATAACATGTCTAAATATCAGGTGTGTTATACTACCGATACATACCTGATCATAATTGATGTAATAAAAAGTTCTTATAAGAATTTTCATTTTTCATAAAAGTTATTTTATTAGAATTAGAACTGAGTGATAGTAGAAATGACCCAGTGATAGTAGAAATGACCCAATGATAGTAGAAATGACCCAGTGATAGTAGAAATGACCCAGTGATAGTAGAAATGACCCAGTGATAGTAGAAATGACCCAATGATAGTAGAAATGACCCAATGATAGTAGAAATGACCCAATGATAGTAGAAATGACCCAGTGATAGTAGAAATGACCCAGTGATAGTAGAAATGACCCAGTGATAGTAGAAATGACCCAATGATAGTAGAAATGACCCAATGATAGTAGAAATGACCCAATGATAGTAGAAATGACCCAGTGATAGTAGAAATGACCCAGTGATAGTAGAAATGACCCAGTGATAGTAGAAATGACCCAATGATAGTAGAAATGACCCAATGATAGTAGAAATGACCCAATGATAGTAGAAATGACCCAGTGATAGTAGAAATGACCCAGTGATAGTAGAAATGACCCAGTGATAGTAGAAATGACCCAATGATAGTAGAAATGACCCAATGATAGTAGAAATGACCCAATGATAGTAGAAATGACCCAGTGATAGTAGAAATGACCCAGTGATAGTAGAAATGACCCAGTGATAGTAGAAATGACCCAATGATAGTAGAAATGACCCAATGATAGTAGAAATGACCCAATGATAGTAGAAATGACCCAGTGATAGTAGAAATGACCCAGTGATAGTAGAAATGACCCAGTGATAGTAGAAATGACCCAATGATAGTAGAAATGACCCAATGATAGTAGAAATGACCCAATGATAGTAGAAATGACCCAGTGATAGAAGAAACTAGAACACTGACAGGTCGGTAAGGGCCCCGTCTTATGGCAATATATCCCCCATAATCATCAAGTAGCAATCTGCCCATATAGCTGAGCTTGACGTTTGATATTTGGACTTCAAAAAGAATCGCAAGGACGCAAAATATACATTTTACATGTACAATGATGTGAGTCTTTTTTCCTTCCACCTCCATATTTGCTGGGCTAACAGAAATGTAAATACTGGTGCAATACTCATTTGTTAGCTTTGATTTGTTTTATTTCACCTTATATACCTCCTCCATCAAGAGCCAGGGTCAAAGTCAGAGATCCACTTTGTCTTTGACCTTTGGACCCAAATGACCTTGACAATTAACCCAGTGACCCTGATCTTTGGTCAGTTGACTTATTCTTTAATTCCGACCAACTTTGCTTCTTAATAGCATAACAAAATGTTCATCAGTGAAAAATACAAAACTTGACCTTGACCCTTTGGACCCCGTAAACTAGACCTAAGGTCAGTTGACTCTGTGTTAAGTTCTGAACAACATTGCTTCATAATGTCATAACAAAATGTTCATCAGAGAAAAGGTACAAAATGTAACCTTCACCTTTGACCCAGTGACCTTGACCTTTGGTCAGTTGACTCCTTGTTTTATTCTGATCAATTTTGCTTCATCATGTCATAACAAAATGTTCATCAGTGAAAAGATGCAAAATTTGACCTTGCCCTTTGAATCTAATGACCTTGACCTTTGACCTCAACTTTTTACCTCAATGTGTCTCTTTGTTTAATTCCGAACAACTTTGCTCACTAATGTCATAGCGAAATGTTCACCAGTGAAAAGCTACAAAATTTGACCTTGACCCCTGACCTGATGACCTTGACCTTTGGTCAGTTGACTCCTTGTTTAATTCTGATCAACTTTGCTTCATAATGTCATATCAAAATGTTCATCAGTGAAAAGATGTAAAATTTGACCTTGACCTTTGAACCTAATGACCTTGACCTTTGACCTTGACTTTTAACCTCAATGTGTATTTTTGTAAACTGAACATCTTGACAATGTTTCATGTACATCAGTCAATAAATACCAATGTTATCAGCCAGGAACAAAATTTGTGGACGGACAAACAGACAGACAGACAGACAGACAGACAGACAAAGTGATTACTATAGGGCACCCGTATCTCTGATACGGGGCCCTAATGACCCAGTGATAGTAGAAATGACCCAATGATAGTAGAAGTGACCCAATGACAGTAGAAATGACCCAGTGATAGTAGAAATGACCCAATGATATTAGAAATGACCCAGTGATAGTAGAAATGACCCAATGATAGTAGAAATGACCCAATGATAGTAGAAATGACCCAGTGATAGTAGAAATGACCCAGTGATAGTAGAAATGGCCCAATTCCATTGACTATTCAGTGTCAACAAAATGTGTTTGAATGAAATGACAAATGGATCTGGAGGAACAGACATGCCATCTTAATCAGTGATACATCTAGAGCAATAGTAAGTAATCTCATATAGATCTTGACCATTATGGATCTGACTGTCAAAAGACCTAGTAACTTGACCAATGCATCTGGAGTAACAGACCTGGTAACTTGACCAATGCATCAGGAGTAACAGACCTGGTAACTTGACCAATGGATCTGGAGAAACAGACCTGGTAACCTGACCAATGCATCTGGAGTAACAGACCTGGTAACTTGACCAATGCATCTGGAGTAACAGACCTGGTAACTTGACCATTATGGATCTGGAGAAACAGACCTGGTAACTTGACCAATGGATCTGGAGTAACAGACCTGGTAACTTGACCAATGCATCTGGAGTTACAGACCTGGTAACTTGACCAATGCATCTGGAGTAACAGACCTGGTAACTTGACCAATGCATCAGGAGTAACAGACCTGGTAACTTGACCAATGATGAACCATTTGTAACTATACCGTAACTCATTCACCCCTGAAATTTCAAAATGAACTATTCCAACTATTGAATTGGAAGAGCTCAAATGTGTCTTTAGGGGTGAATGAGTTAATGTGATTTGGTGTAAGACAGGATCCTGATAATGTTATCAGCAACCCATCCATTTGTAACTTCCCTTATAAAAAATGAAGGATTTTCCCATGTTTTGAAAGCAGGTTTTGCTAATTTTTGCGGGATTATAAGTATGGAACTTCAGGATTAAAATCCATCTTTTTTACAGTTGTTTGTGTATACTGGCACGCCGTTGAATTCAAACATATTTTAATGAAAAATTGCCGCACTTCTTGGGGGTAAATGACTAAAAAGGGTGGTGTGGCATACCATAACAAGGTTACCGCGAGCGGTATATAATACGCCCGTCACACATTGAATGAGCAGTTGTTTGTATGATTGAAATATATGAAGTATTTGTGAGTAATTGATATTAAAAGAGAAATCATTCAACATAACTGGTAGATCAATGAGTGCAATACAACATCATGGAACGCATGCATCGCATTAATGAAACCAAGGGTAATAACTCCAGTAATAACGGTCGGATAATGGCGGTTATCAAACTTGTCCGAGGTTTCATGGTAATTAACCTTGTTGTGAAGTTTTAAGTTAATCCGTTAATAATTACTCGAGATATCGAGCGGACACTGTTTCGGCAAATCCATAAAGGACCATAACTCCACAAATTATGGTCGGATAATGGCGGTTATCTAACTTGTCCGAGCTTTCATGGTAATTAACCTTGTTGTGAAGTCTGAAGTTAATCCGTTAATAATTACTCGAGATATCGAGCGGACACTGTTTCGGCAAGTCCATAAAGCGACATAACTCCACAAATTATGGTGGAATAATGCCGGTTATCGAACTTGTCCAAGCTTTCATGGTAATTAACCTTGTTGTGAAGTCTGAAGTTAATCCGTTAATAATTACTCGAGATATCGAGCGGACACTGTTTCGGCAAGTCCATAAAGCGACATAACTCCACAAATTATGGTGGAATAATGCCGGTTATCGAACTTGTCCAAGCTTTCATGGTAATTAACCTTGTTGTGAAGTTTGAAGTTAATCCGTTGATAATTACTCGAGATATCGAGCGGACACTGTTTCGGCAAGTCCATAAAGGGACATAACTCCACAAATTATGGTGGAATAATGGCGGTTATCGAACTTGTCCAAGCTTTCATGGTAATTAACCTTGTTGTGAAGTTTGAAGTTAATCTGTTAATAATTACTCGAGATATCGAGCGGACACTGTTTCGGCAAATCCATAAAGGGGCATAACTCCACAAATTATGGTCTGATAATGGCGGTTATCGAACTTGTCCGAGGTTTCATGGGAATTGACCTTGTTGTGAAGTTTGAACTGAATCCGTTAATAATTAATTGAGATATCGAGCGGACACTGTTTCGGCAAGTCCATAAAGGGGCATAACTCCACAAATTATGGTCTGATAATGGCGGTTATCGAACTTGTCCGAGGTTTCATGGTAATTGACCTTGTTGTGAAGTTTGAACTGAATCCGTTAATAATTAATTGAGATATCGAGCGGACACTGTTTCGGCAAGTCCATAAAGGGGCATAACTCCACAAATTATGGTCGGATAATGGCGGTTATCGAACTTGTCCGAGGTTTCATGGTAATTAACCTTGTTGTGAAGTTTGAAGTTAATCCGTTAATAATTACTCGAGATATCGAGCGGACACTGTTTCGGCAAGTAAAGGGGCATAACTCCAGAAATTATGGTCGGATAATGGCGGTTATCGAACTTGTCCGAGGTTTCATGGTAATTAACCTTGTTGCGAAGTTTGAAGTTAATCTGTTAATAATTACTCGAGATATAGAGCGGACATCGTTTGCCCGCCCGCCACTGAGTAACGACTTTTTTATCAACACAAATATTTCAGGTTTGGAGTACGTGTTTATAAATATAATCCTTTCCATCAATGTTTCTTGGTATACTATAACAGAACAAATAGCCAAGTATAACTTCAATGATAACAGTACACCAATGAAACACAATTCTCCA